GAACTCGAGAAGGTCAATTCTGATTGGCTGGTCGTCTCCAATCATATCTTCTATCTGAGATGAGAGAGATTTTCGGTTGCCATCAGGCTGTTGACGTTCTTATTACACATCCATCGTTGACATTTACAGGAATATTGACGAGATCGATAAGATCGACTAGATACTGCTAATCCTATCACCACTACAAGCAACAGTTACAAGCTACAACACAGCCACAAGCTACGCTAGCCGCTGCTGCGTCTGTAAAGCCGGTGTGTCCTTGGGCAAGACACTTCACCTGAACTTGCTCCTGTGGGTATTGTCCACAGTATCTGACCATTGCATGTATCATATATGTGTAATGTGTGTATATGTAAAGCGCTTTGAGTCATTGATAAAGCGCTATAATAAATGTAAGGAATTATTATTATTATTAATTATTAATTAATTATTATTAGTCTGCACACGCTACAAGCTACGCTACAAGCTGTAAGTAAGCCACAGAACACCAAGAGAAAACACCATGCCTGGAGATCAGCTGTGGCTGAACCACATCTAACCAAGCCCTGTAACTGACTGCCTTGTGGACACGATAAGAAGAAGATTTACAGGACATGACAGACTCGAATGAAGAGAATAGCCACAGTGTCAGGTGAGTTATACATTTCTAGTTTTCTGATATCACGTTATTGTTTGCAATGCCTGAGTTTGCTAGCCGGCAACATAGCTATAGGGGTAGTTTAAGCAAACCGCTAACAAACCGTAGCCTACATGTACATGAACCCTTCTGAGGTATTGATTACTTGCTGTAAGCATTAGAGGTGGCAGAATCACAAAACATGTTTCTCTCTCTATCACAATGTTGGGTTGACCAGAACCTGGACCAACTTCTGTTTGCTGTTCTACAATGGGCATATGCTTGCGTTAATTTTCAACCGGACAACTAAACAGATTAGGCTAGAATACCGGAAAAGTTAGCAACACACGTTAACCATGAACAGCCTATTAATCCAACGTTGTGGAATTAGAGAAAAGGTGCTTCTTAACGTGCTTTTATCCGGGGTGGAGGGAGTTACATATTAGTTAAATATAACATTGGGGCGTGTGATTGATATGGATTTAGAGTCGATATTTGAGACCTCTAAACAGTAAACAACAACGTAACTTATGGGTGAGTGTTTTTATCACAGCCATATTGTCCTTGTGATTCTGTTGATTATTACCTGTCTGTATTATGTTGCAGCTCAGCTGATGTGGGATTGATGGCAAAGGGAGAGGGACTTAAGTGAGAGTGAAAACACAAGGTAAGTTTAAAATAGGTCAGCAATGTCCCATCCAATAGGTTGCTAGATGTATCTAACCCTTTCTCCTGTCTCCCTCTTTCAGCACAAGAACCCCAGGGGGATTCAATGGAGCCTGAATACCCACTGAGACCCTCACCCTGACCCTGAGTCTCAACTCTCAGAGCTTTGCAAGCCTCTCCCTGTTCCTTATTTGTGATTAAACAGACGTTAAGCTTCCCGATGGTGTGGTCTTTGTTTAGTGAAAAATATGATTACCTCACATATGTTGTTGCTGTTGTTGTCTTTTGCGATAGTTAAATTGCTCCTGCTGACTTGAGCCAGACATTCTTTCCTCCTCTCTGTTAGTGGGGAAACCTTACATTCATACTCCTTTCTCTGAGCGCTTGGAGCATCCCCCGGCAGCCCAGCAAACCATGGGGGAGACGATATGCCAGGACAACACGGAGGAAAAGGCTCAGACAAACTGCATGATATGCTATTCAATGTGTATTGAATTCCATTTATTTACATGGATGTTCCTAAAACAACACATGTATCATCATCATCATCATCATCATCATCATCATGCTGCTGCTAGCCCTTTGACTCATTGTGCTGTCAGTTGACAATCATTGATAGGCACCTGAGGGTCTGCTGTCCTTTCTGAAAGCCATAAAGATTACATTAGTACTTTAGATGACTTGTGTCCTCAATTACTAGGGATTACTAAAACCACCATGAATGAAAGAAATGGTAGAAATTATTCTAATCTGAATTTGTAAACCTTCCTCCCCTCTCTCTAAATATATATCAATACACATTAGGATGTGATGCTCCTGACTACCATTCAGGTTTAAGAAGATAATATTTGTTTTAAAGAATTCAAAGCAATAAACAACAGGCTCTGTAACAAAGGCAACGTTAGCCTAACATGTATGTTAACAGGTAAGATAGCTGTTCACACTATGTATATTTTCTACTTTTTGTAATGCTATGTTATTTCTATTTAAGATGTTTACATTTTCGATTGTTTAATTCTAGTCTTTTAACTGTCTAATGTACAATGCCTTGTCTTTTGCTGCTGCAGCGTAAACATTTCCCCAATTGGTATCAATAAAGTACTTCTTATTTTATCTTAATCCTCAAATATTAGCACATTTTACTCTAAAAAAAACAAAACACATTGATGTAACTACATACACATATCGATATGTTGTATAAATATTGCAAATCAAAACCTTTATTGACCACTAATTAGCTAAAATTGCATTTCTATCCTATTATTAATGCATTCAAATCGTGATTCAAATGGCCCGCCACGAACTTCCGGGAACTTTCTGAGTCTCTCTGAACCACGTGACGATCAAGCATTTTGGACTTCCGCTGTCGCAACTCTTCTCTCTACATGGCGCTGGACCAGCCAATCAGAATTGACCTTCTCGAGTTCTCCGATTGGTTGGTTTTGTGGCACATTTGTAACGCTGTGACAACTTGAGCGAGCGCAGGCAAAGCTGAGCGCGCACAGGCTGGAGAGGTCGAGCCAGCGGGGGAGAGAGAGCGCGTGCAGCGGTCTGCTTGCGCACGGAGCAGGAGTTTTATGAGAGAACATATATTTCTCTGCTCAAAACTGTTCAAGTGCGCTCAATAGCATTTTCTATGCTCAACATGTTTCATTGCGTGCTCAGGATAGAGGCACAAATATAACGCCATACAGAACGCGGCTCCGCTCCGGCACTTCCAAACACTGCAGTACCCATAAGGAGCCGTACACATGCTGCAGTTCCTGCGCGGCTGTGCCTTTAGTTGAAAGCCCAGTGATCTGTCATTCTGATCATACAGTCAATCACTGTGTTGTTATTAGCATCTGGTTAGCTAGCTATGCTAACGAATATAAGAAGCTTTTTCTCCAACCAGTGAGGTAAAGGCACATCTTTATATGATCATTATAGTTATCAAAAAACAAGAGAATAAAACGGGTATAAAATACTATATGACAGTAAAAAAAGTTGTTATTAATAAACAAGAATACAGTTTGAAAGGAGAGTGATTTGTAAAATATCCATAAAGAAAAATAAATCTGCTTCCAGTTCTGTTTCATATGGTATTGAGAGATGTATCTATAGATCTCTTAATGTTGCTCTCAAAGTGCACCAGATTGATGCTTTCAACTTCAACATTTAAAAAAACAAATCTTCCAGGGGGAGCATGCCCCCGGACCCCCTAGAGGAGGTTAGGGTTAGGGCCCGGCTGGGCGTGTCCCAGTCCGGCCCTGGGCTGCTCTGGCTTTACGCAGTGCTTTCTTATACTCATTGATAGTAATATGCAACTTAAACGAGATTCGTCAAGTTTAGTGGAACGCCATATCCTTTCAAGTTGTCTCGACTTTTGCTTTATTGTGCGGGTTTGGGCATTATGCCATGGAGCTAATCTATGTTGTTTTATTTTCTTCTTTTTCAAAGAAGCAACTGAGTCTAATTTTATTCGCAGCGCATCTGAAGCACTATCAACAACATGATCAATTTGGTCTTCTTCTTATATCCGTTAGAGCAGCTAGCACCAGATTCTAATAACAACAGCGCCGGTACCGGTGCACCCTCCCTCCCTCGCTCGCTCACTCACTCTTTGGCTGTGAGCTGCGGGCGCCAGATAAGCCAACATCCCCCATTGTCATCACTTACAGCGCCCATCGTACAGGGCAAATGAAAAGTGTAACCGGGGTGAAAAGGGTGTTACATTTACTTAATTATGAATGTTGTTACATCAAGGCCGAACATTAGGATGAGCACCAACGGTCAAAAATGTTTTTCTACCAGCGCAGCGCCTCCACAGATCTGGCGCCCTAGGCGAGCATCGATAACGCCAGTGCTACGGGCCGGCCCTGCACAGGGACACAACGACATGCTGACTGCAGCGGGGCTTGAACCTGTGCTCCCCTGATCCCGACACCGAGATATCATTTAAATGTTAAAAACGTATTAATTATTACGGTTTCATCTGCGTTTATTTATTCATCATCTCCAGACCACAGATACAGATTCAGTCACGAACAGTTTCAGGAGAACGCAGACAAACATTATTATTAATAATAATAATAATACATTTGAGTTATATAGCGTGATCATTACATACATTACCACTACATACACTGCTAACACATGCTAACACACGCTAACACACGCTCACAAGGTGTTCGGACTGACAGGAGATTTACTTGAGAAGATTCCAGTGTTTCCCACAGATCTGAAATATACTTGGGGGGGTGGTAGTAGCGGGGGGGGGGGGGGGTGGGGGGTTGAGGTGACGTGCAAGAATATTAATTAACCTTTCTGTTGGTCGCTTGTTAGCAGACCCTTCACGCGATGGCAGAGCGAACAGGTACTACCCACAAATAAACATATGGCCATGGGTTACTATTTAAAAGAAATGGTAAATGTATTTAGGAACCTATTAATGTGATTTTAAGTGGGGGTGGACCTCAAATCCTCTAGGGCAGTGCTTCTCAAAGTGTGGTCCGCGGACCACTGGTGGTCCGTGAGCTCCCCCTAGTGGTCCGTGAGTATATTGGTAAAATGTCACATTTTTAATTAATTTAAGTTTTCCGCACTGGAACGAGCTTAAGTTTCACTTTCGATTGCATGATATAACCCAGATAAACATCTTCATCACACATGTTGCCACTTGTTTGTAAACATTTCTGGTGATTTGTAAAAAACGATGTGTTTTTGGATATTTGTGGAGTTAGGTGGTCCGCGAGTGTTTTTTTATTGGTTAAGTGGTCCTTGGTATGAAAAAGTTTGAGAAACACTGGTCTAGGGGGACACACAGAGACCAATCCAGGATTTATAATCTGTATGACAGTGGCCATGTCGGCAGACCACATCATGTAGACAGCCAAACGAATAAAAGAAAAATTAATTAATTTACACGCCCAAGTATAGTCTATGTGTGGGAAACCCTGGATTCTGTTAACAACTGTTAACACTTAGCTTAGCTTTAGGACTCAGCTCAGCACTAAACTGAGGGTTTATTCGCCCCTACGATTGTCTTCCCAGGTAATTGTCCATGTTTGGGTTATATCCCCTCTTCTTGTCTCCTCAGGTATACTGTAGTACTCTAGTTCACCAGTAGTACTCTAGTTCACCAGTAGTACTCTAGTTCACCAGTAGGGGGCGCTGTGCAAAACTGAGGGTCTGAGTTTCCTCCCGGCTCTGACTTCGGCCTCCAGACGAACTCCAGGAACCTTAAAGATGGACGTAGCTGAAAATCAGAGAAGAAGAAGTTAGCAATGGCTTGTTAGCATGTAGCTCTGTTATCATGTATCTCTGTTAGCATGTATCTCTGTAAGCATGTAGCTCTGTTAGCATGTAGCTCTGTTAGCATGTAGCTCTGTTAGCATGTATCTCTGTTAGCATGTAGCTATGTTAGCATGTAGCTCTGTTAGCGTGTATCTCTGTTATCGTGTATCTCTGTTAGCGTGTAGCTCTGTTAGCATGTAGCTCTGTTAGCATGTAGCTCTGTTATCATGTAGCTCTGTAAGCATGTAGCTCTGTAAGCATGTAGCTCTGTTAGCATGTAGCTCTGTTAGCATGTTGTTCTGTTAGCATGTAGCTCTGTAAGCATGTAGCTCTGTTAGCATGTTGTTCTGTTAGCATGTTGTTCTGTTAGCATGTAGCTCTGTTAGCATAGCTGGTGGAGGCTCTTACTGTCGCCCAGGTGCATGATGGGAGGTGGCAGCGTGTGGAAGTAGTGATGCTTCAGAGCTTCCTGAGCAGATATCCTCTCTGAGGGGCGGAGCTTCAGCATCTGAGACAGGAGATCCTCCGTCTTCCCAGGGAGCTGCTGGAGCCTGGAGGAGAGCTAACATGCTAACTGCTAACATGCTAACACACAGGGTATCAGACTGCAGCCTGGGGAGAGCTAACACGCTAACTGCTAACATGCTAACACACAGGGTATCAGACTGCAGCCTGGGGAGAGCTAACACGCTAACTGCTAACATGCTAACACACAGGGTATCAGACTGCAGCCTGGGGAGAGCTAACACGCTAACTGCTAACATGCTAACACACAGGGTATTAGACTGCAGCCTGGGAGAGAGCTAACATGCTAACATCCTAACACACAGGGGGTGTTTCTCAATGGCGAGTACGCTTGCTTGGTAGCACATGTCTTCCGAGCATCTTGCTTCAGAAGCGAGGCAAGAATCCTTCCTGGCATTCGGAAAACAAAGAGTGGAACAGGCGAGCAGGTGTGCAGGTGTGCGTCACATGAGAGGCCCCGCCTTGGTCCGTGTGTGTGGGTTATTCTATCTTTATTCAAGAGCGGGGTCTTTCAATTTGAGAGCATGCTTTATATATTTCTTTCCCTCAAACCCTGTCCTCGCACTCAAATAGTTCCTGCTTGCACTTAGATCTGCTTCTGCTCAAACTGCTTGCACTCAGATATATTGCTGCTTACAGATTTCCTGTGTTCCAGCTTAAGACCCTCTCCTCGCACTCAGGCTGTTTCTGCACGCTCTGAACTTTTGTGCAACAATCCTGTCCTTGCGGGAGCGTTCGCTTCACTTATTACAGCGTCCCGTAAGGGCGGTTACTCTTTGGTTTATAAACTCCCGCCCTCCACGGCTTTATAACATAACATGTACTTCACTTGTTTGATTTACAAATTAGCACCTTACATAATAGCTACGTTCAGTGGCAGACTGGGAATACAAATCGGCCCGGGAATAAAATAAAATAGTCCCTCTGTTGTCTTCTGCACAAAACATAGTGCGAGGTGGTTGCAACAAGAATAACAGCTAGAGAACATATTAGACAGACAGCATTGTCGTCGTTTAGGTGCTTTTTTTTCTGGAGCTAGGCACTTCTCAATCCACTCCTCCATAGTGAGGCCACCCGGAGGTCGAAGTTAACCGTAAATGTTTCCATCTCAAGCTTTGTTAGTTAGTTAGTTAGTTTCGTGACGGACGTAATGTAACAGTTGTACGGTTGTAGCTTTTCTCAGACGCGGAGGAATACTGACTCGTGAAAAGTAACTACAATTATACCCGGGATATACGCTCATTATATCACGGCTAAGCAACATCATCACATCACATTTAGCTGACGCTTTTATCCAAAGCGACTTACAATAAGTGCGTTCGACCAGGAAGACACAACCTTGAAGAAAACAGAATCATAAAGTACATCAGGTTTCATAGAGCCAAACATTTCAAGTGCTACTCAACTGGCTTTAGATAAGCCAGTCCTTTATTAATATATAAGTGCTTTGTTAATAGTTCTATCGCTCGAAGTGGAGTCGAAAGAGATGAGTTTTCAGTCTGGAAGGTGTGTAAGCTATCTGCCGTCCTGATGTCAATGGGGAGCTTATTCCACCATCTTGGAGCCAGGATAGCAAACTCACGTGTTTCTGCTGATGGGAACTTGGGCCCCCCTCGCATTGAGGGCGCAGCGAGTCGTTTGGTTGATGCAGAGCGTAGTGCACGTGCTGGGGTATACAGTTTAACCATGTCCTGGATGTAGGAAGGGCCAGATCCATTCGCAGCATGGTAAGCAAGTACCAGTGTCTTGAAGTGGATTCTAGCAGTTACCGGAAGCCAGTGGAGGGAGCGGAGGAGCGGAGTGGTGTGGGAGACATTTAGGAAGGTTGAAGACCAGGCGAGCCGCTGCATTCTGGATGAGCTGCAGAGGTCGGATGGCACATGCAGGTAGACCAGCCAGGAGGGAGTTGCAGTAGTCTAGGCGTGAGATGACGAGAGCCTGGACCAGAACCTGAGTCGCTTTCTGAGTCAGCTGGGGACGCATCCTCCTGATGTTGTAAAGCGTGTATCTGCAGCAACGGGTTGTAGCAGCGATGTTTGCAGTGAAGGACAGGTTGTTATCTAGGGTCACACCCAGATTCCTTGCAGTCTGAGTCGGGGAAACAACTGAGGTGCCGATGTTGATTGTCAGGTCAAGAGTGGGACAATCTTTTCCCGGAAGGAAAAGCAGTTCAGTCTTGTCAAGGTTGAGCTTGAGGTGGTGAGCAGACATCCACTGAGAGATGTCAGCTAGACAAGCAGAGATGCGTGCGACGACCTGGGTCTCTGAGCGGGGAAAGGACAGAATTAGTTGGGGGTCGTCAGCGTAGCAGTGGTAAGAAAAACCATGCGGGCTAATGACTGATCCGAGCGAGTTTGTGTACAGGGAGAAGAGGAGGGGACCAAGAACAGAGCCCTGAGGGACCCCTGTAGTTAATTGACAAGGGTCGGACTCCGACCCTCTCCAAGTAACCCTGTAGGTGCGGTCTTTCAGATATGAGGTGAGGAGGGAAAGTGCAGAGCCTGAAACTCCAAGTGCTTGGAGAGTGTGAAGGAGGATCTGATGATTCACCGTGTCGAATGCAGCAGACAGGTCCAACAGGATGATGACAGAGGAGCGGGAGGCTGCTTTAGCAGTGTGCAGTTCCTCAGTGACAGCAAGGAGGGCAGTTTCTGTTGCCTCTACATCAGATTGCTTGATTTGACTTGTCCGTTTTATAAATATATACTAACTGTGCTCCCCCCCCCCCCCCCCCTAGGGTGACCAGATCCCAACAAACCAAATGTGGGACAAGGAGTATGGTTGTGTGGGACAATGTGGGACACCCTCTCAACAGCACCCAACCTTGTCATTTGACCGGTATGATTGGGAGTGTTGCACTGTATGGTAAACACTGGTTATTTCTGCTGCTGTTACCTTGTCTGAGTGGCCATCATGTTTTGGTTTGAGTAGGAATGTCTCCATAGAGTGGGATGTCTCTTTTTGAGCGACACGTTTTGTGAGAATCGCATTCTCTGTGTCTTCTTAGCTGTAGTTTCAGTTTCCTCCATTTTCCATAACCTGCTGCGTCGCCTGCGTTCGTTGTTGTTGTTTGGTGGGGCCGCGGGGGGGGGGGGGGTGTGTGAGTGAGTTACTCTCATTGGTTAACACTTGACCAGCACCCGCCGTGTGTTACAGTTTGATTGACAGCAAACACAGCCTCGTGATGATAGCCTTCCCTGCTTTCTCAACAGCCAGTGAATCTGATTTTAAGAAAAGCGTTTTAGCCAATCAAAATGAAATATGCGGGACATCGTCTCAATTTGCGGGACGCACCAAAAGTCGTGAAAATGCTGTGCAGTCCCGCGCAAAGCGGGACATCTGGACACCCTACCCCCCCCTCACCCCAAAAGTTGTAAATCAAACAAGTGAAGTACATGTGATGTTATAAAGCCGTGGAGGGCGGGAGTTTATAAACCATAAGTAAATCGAACGCACCCGCAAGGACACCTGGCCTCCTATTGGTTGAGGGATTGTGACAGGGTTGTTGCACAAAAGATCCGAGCGCGCACGGAAGAAATCTGAGAGCAGACATTTCACAAGCGCAGAAACAGCCTGAGTGCGAGGAGAAGGTTTTAAGCTGGAACACAGGAAATCTGTAAGCAGCAATATATCTGAGTGCAAGCAGCGAGTTGGGAGTAACGCGTTCCTGTAATAATAACTTGTGTCGTAACGGAGTAGTGTAACTTTTATAATTCAGTAATCACAGTACAGTTACTAACATTGCCCCGACACGCGTTACTTCGTTACTTATTCAAAGCAGGGAGAGCCAGACCGCAGTTCATTTCCTCATATTCCAAACGAGAAATTACGGTAGCAAATCACCCGGTTCTTTACGACCAGACTATTACCGGGATACAAACCGGAGGAACCAGGCATGGAGGGAGGTGGCAGAGACAGTGGGTGAAACTGGTAGGTTTTCGCCTGTTTGGGGAGTTTATATTTATATATATTGCTCGCTAAAATCCCCGGGGTTTTTTGCTTTGTATGTGTATGGGGCGGGAGATTCATGTGATTGGTTGTTGGTCGCGTTGCTCGCAAAAAATCCCCAAGCTTTCAGACACGCCCAGCTCCAAGATTTTCAAGATTTTTGAAAAGCTGCTGTGTGGACGTAGCGTTACAGTACACAGTTGATCCTGAGTCCTGTCAGTTAAAGTGTTTCATAGTTAGCTTAGCTAAGCATCAACCAATGGTGGCATGCCACTGCTTTAGTGTCGACAGCATGTTTGAACGTATTTGCAGCAGTAAATGTGGCTTTGTGGTCACTGACGTTGCCATAACAACACCTGCATTTAAATGTGCAACCTCTTTTTGTGACAGATTTTTGCATGAAATTATAATTATTCTGAATGATATTCGTATTGACAGCTAGTTTCTATGTGAACATTATGAGATGGACAGCCAGAGAGAATACATGAAAAACAGTTATGAAATACTATATGACAAAACAAGAATACAGTTTAAGTGATTTGTAAAATATCCATAAAGAAAAATCTGTTTACAGTTCTGTTCCATCTGGGTGTTGAGAGAGGTATCCATAGATCTCTTCATGTTGCTCTCAAAGTGCACCAGATTGATGCTTTCAACTTCAATATTTAGAAAAAAATCCCGGGGGAGGTGAGGACCCCCTTAGAGGAGGTGAGGACCACCCTAGAGGAGGTGAGGAGCCCCTTAGAGGAGGTGAGGACCCCCTTAGAGGAGGTGAGGACCCCCTTAAAGGAGGTGAGGACCCCGCTAGAGGAGGTGAGGACCCCGCTAGAGGAGGTTAGGTCCACGGTGTTTCCATGCTTATTTATACAATGTGTGCTTCTGCTAACATCATAAGCCAAAAGTTGGTTCTGTGTTGTGTGAAGTGAGAACGCGCTTCAGTGTGGGGGGCCCCCAAGCCAGAGCTCGCTTAGGGCCCCCAAAGGTCTAGGGCCGGCCCTGGGTGGAGGTATGCCCATTATTTTGAGTTGGTCCGAAGAAAGGAAAGGAATGTGACGGTGAGGTGCAAACTGTGTCCAGGCCAGCAGCTGTTATCCACTGCTGGAACACCACACCTCAACAAGCACCTGCAAATAACACATGCTAAGGTGAAGCTAATAGCTAAGGACCCCCGGACCCAGAGGGAGGATGTTGTGAGTGCGCCGCCGCCGACTCCGAAGCAGCACAAATTAGAATGTGGAGGACCGGTAACTAAAGCAGAGATGGACAGGCTTGTAGCATCCTTCATAGTAGAGGACATGTTGCCCATGTGCACAGAGGACTCACCATCGTTTAGACCCTCCAGAAAAACGTGGGCTAAAATCCTTGATTATGAGATCAAACATGCGTTTTACGTGATTTTATGCGGTGAAATTGCGGGAAGTTGTGAAATATGCTAAAATAAATATTGGGATGTCTTATTTATTTATTCTCTCTCACACACAACCTGCCGCTAACGTTAAAACCCTTTACTATGCAATTAAACACATTCAATGTTTATTTATTGTAAAAGCAATTGGGCTATTTTAATCACACTCTCTCTCTCTCTCTCTATCTCTCACGCACACACACACACACACACACACATGCGCACACACACACACACACACACACACACACACACACACACACACACACACACACACACACACACACACACTTCTCCGCCTCATTCTGTTTTCATTTCATTTCATTTACTCGTTATCTGACCAGCTTCAATCTTGTAGGCTTCTCACCTCGTTCCTTGTAGCCCTCAAAGGGTTTTGGAGGTCGATGCCTCGGTGAACGGGAGTTGTTTGGCTTTCTTGTCGGCAGCAGCAGAAAGCATGTTCGAATGTTTGAATGAATCAAAGTGGGTCGTCACCGTCGATGTTCTCTTATGCTCCAACACACAGTTGCACGGGGTGCAGAATAGTTTCCCCCCCACTGTCGTGCGAGACATCGGGGTACTGCTCTGCCCGGTCTTTAGCAGAAATGTTCGTCGGTAAATTAGATTAAATTGTTTCATCTTGGTGTTTTCTCTCTCGTGTGAGCTCCACACGTTCACTCTACGGTGTTGTTTACCTTCTGTGATGCGCGAGCTGATGACGTCCCGTCATCATCATCATCATCATCACTTCACGTCAAGACGAGTTAACTTTTTTTTTTCTCAACTTTGTGGAAAAATGCGGGGATTATGCGGCCTTTTAAAAATCTGCGCCATTTTGCTGATTATGCGGTAAATTCTGCGATCGCAGAATCGCGTTTATCTGGAGGGTCTAATCGTTCAGAGATACACTGCGCAACATACAGATATCAGGAGGCAGAGGGACAGCCACGGTCAGATCAGGATCTGGATCAGTCTGTGACGACTGAACCAGAGAGAGCATGAAACTTAAGCAGTCTGCGTGGTCTGCCCGCAGGGAGGGCCGCGTCTGCCCGTAGGGAGGGCCGGGTCTGCCCGTAGGGAGGGCCGGGCCTGCGAGTTACTTTATGTAGAGAGTAACAAAGTAGTGTAATATATTACTTTTTTTAAAGTAATATATTACTTTTTTTTAGTAACGAACCCATCTCTGACAAGCAGGCACTATTTGAGTGCGAGGAAATAAATACATATTCTGCACGTGAAATCAATAAAGTATGCTCTCAAATTCAAAGACCCCGCTCTTGAATAAAGAGAGGGAATAACCCCCATCCGTGTGGGGATTTTAAGACCGCGGAGTCTACGCATGTGCAGCCTCGAAATGTCTCCAAACGAAGTACGCCGGGCTCGGTACATTTCCAAGTATGCTGGAGATTGGAACAGTCCTCCGCGGCACTCGATGACGTAGTATGCTTGAAATAGTGGCTCTGGAGCATCCTTACTCGACATTGAGAAACACCCAGGGTATCAGACTACAGCATGCTAACATGCTAACTGCTAACACACTGTTTATCAGACTACAGCATGCTAACATGCTAACTGCTAACACACTGTTTTATTAGACTACAGCATGCTAACATGCTAACTGCTAACACACTGTTTATCAGACTACAGCATGCTAACATGCTAACTGCTAACACACTGTTTATCAGACTACAGCATGCTAACATGCTAACTGCTAACACACTGTTTATCAGACTACAGCATGCTAACATGCTAACTGCTAACACACTGGTTATATGTTTGAGTTCATCTGCACTTCTTAAATGTTTGTATTTCCGAACCGTTTCCAAACGTTGTGAAGCTTCTTGGGCCGAGAGGGAAGGAGCCGCTCTGAGGAGACAAAACAAACACATCTACAGACATCTTAGATGTATAGATGTATATATTATAATATGTATTTATTGTTGTACTGATGTTGTCTGCTGTACTCTCTAGTGTTGTTGTGGTACATCTTGCCTGCTGGCTAACACTGAGGGTCAATGTGTCCCTTAAATACATAAACAAGCAAACAAACAACATCAGAGAGCTGCGCACCTGGGTGAAAGTGCGGCAGCTGAGTGACTCCAGGCCAGCTGAGCTCAGACGGGACGCCCAGCACCTGCAGGGTGAAGCATCAATAACAACAACAATAACAACAATACAAACAATAAGTTAATACATATTGTTATTGTACCGTCCAGATGTGCTGCAGCTGAGCGCTCTGGTCTGAGGCTCCGGGGAATGCTGGCGCACCCTGCAGCATCTCCACAAAGATACACCCTGCACTCCTGAGAGAACACAGCTGGGTTTAGAAGCCTCTCCATCACAGGAAACAACAACAACAACAACAACAACAACATGTTTCTGTTGAGAAGACACTGAGTGTCCTCCTCCAGCATGAGAGTAGCATGAGATCAAAGGTATCAACTGCAGCTGTGAACATGACAGCATGTGTGATAGAAGAGCATCAGGACTGTTTGAGGCAGATGATAGCTCTGTGATGAACATGAGGATTCAGCCTCTATGGAGAGACCGGGGAGGGTCTCTATCAGGGTCAGTGTGTGATGGGGACCGGGGAGGGTCTCTATCAGGGTCAGTGTGTGATGGGGACCGGGGAGGGTCTCTATCAGGGTCAGTGTGTGATGGGGACCGGGGAGGGTCTCTATCAGGGTCAGTGTGTGATGGGGACCGGGGAGGTCTCTATCAGGGTCAGTGTGTGATGGGGACCGGGGAGGGTCTCTATCAGGGTCAGTGTGTGATGGGGACCGGGGAGGGTCTCTATCAGGGTCAGTGTGTGATGGGGACCAGGGGAGGGTCTCTATCAGGGTCAGTGTGTGATGGGGACCGGGGAGGGTCTCTAGCAGGGTCAGTGTGTGATGGGGACCCGGGGAGGGTCTCTATCAAGGGTCAGGTGTGTGATGGGGACCGGGGAGGGTCTCTATCAGGGTCAGTGTGTGATGGGGACCGGGGAGGTCGTCTATCAGGTCAGTGTGTGATGGGGACCGGGGAGGTCTCTATCAGGGTTCAGTGTGTGATGGGGACCGGGGGAGGTCCTATCAGGGTCAGTGTGTGATGGGGACCGGGGAGGGTCTCTATCAGGGTCAGTGTGTGATGGGGACCGGGGAGGGTCTCTATCAGGGTCAGTGTGTGATGGGGCTCGGGGAGGGTCTCTATCAGGGTCAGTGTGTGATGGGGACCGGGGAGGGTCTCTAGCAGGGTCAGTGTGTGATGGGGAACCGGGGAGGGTCTCTATCAGGGTCAGTGGTGTGATGGGGACCGGGGAGGGTCTCTATCAGGGTCAGTGGTGTGATGGGGACCGGGGAGGGTCTCTATCAGGGTCAGTTGTGTGATGGGGACCGGAGGTCTCTATCAGGGTCAGTGTGTGATGGGGACCGGGGAGGGTCTCTATCAGGGTCAGTGTGTGATGGGGACCGGGGAGGGTCTCTATCAGGGTCAGCTGTGTGATGGGGACCGGGGAGGGTCTCTATCAGGGTCAGTGTGTGATGGGGACCGGGGAGGGTCTCTATCAGGGTCAGTGTGTGATGGGGACCGGGGAGGGTCTCTAGCAGGGTCAGTGTGTGATGGGGACCGGGGAGGGTCTCTATCAGGGTCAGTGTGTGATGGGGACCGGGGAGGGTCTCTATCAGGGTCAGTGTGTGATGGGGACCGGGGAGGGGTCTCTATCAGGGTCAGTGTGTGATGGGGACCGGGGAGGGTCTCTATCAGGGTCAGGTGTGTGATGGGGACCGGGGAGGGTCTCTATCAGGGTCAGTGTGTGATGGGGACCGGGGGGGGGGTCTCTAGCAGGGTCAGTGTGTGATGGGGACCGGGGAGGGTCTCTATCAGGGTCAGTGTGTGATGGGGACCGGGGAGGGTCTCTATCAGGGTCAGTGGTGTGATGGGGACCGGGGAGGGTCTCTAGCAGGGTCAGTGTGTGATGGGGACCGGGGAGGGTCTCTATCAGGGTCAGTGTGTGATGGGGACCGGGGAGGGTCTCTATCAGGGTCAGTGTGTGATGGGGACCGGGGAGGGTCTCTATCAGGGTCAGTGTGTGATGGGGATCGGGGAGGGTCTCTATCAGGGTCAGTGTGTGATGGGGATCGGGGAGGGTCTCTATCAGGGTCAGTGTGTGATGGGGACCGGGGAGGGTCTCTAGCAGGGTCAGTGTGTGATGGGACCGGGGAGGGTCTCTATCAGGTCAGTGTGTGATGGGACCGGGGAGGGTCTCTAGCAGGGTCAGTGTGTGATGGGGACCGGGGAGGGTCTCTATCAGGGTCAGTGTGTGATGGGACCGGGGGGTCTCTATCAGGGTCAGTGTGTGATGGGGACCGGGGAGGGTCTCTATCAGGTCAGTGTGTGATGGGGACCGGGGAGGGTCTCTATCAGGGTCAGTGTGTGATGGGGACCGGGAGGGTCTCTATCAGGGTCAGTTGTGTGATGGGGACCGGGAGGGTCTCTATCAGGGTCAGTGTGTGATGGGGATCGGGGAGGGTCTCTATCAGGGTCAGTGTGTGATGGGACCGGGGAGGGTCTCTAGCAGGGTCAGTGTGTGATGGGGACCGGGGAGGGTCTCTAGCAGGGTCAGTGTTGTGATGGGACCGGGAGGGTCTCTATCAGGGTCATGTGTGATGGGGACCGGGGAGGGTCTCTATCAGGGTCAGTGTGTGATGGGGACCGGGGAGGGTCTCTAGCAGGGTCAGTGTGTGATGGGGACCGGGGAGGGTCTCTATCAGGGTCAGTGTGTGATGGGGATCGGGGAGGGTCTCTAGCAGGGTCAGTGTGTGATGGGGACCGGGGAGGGTCTCTATCAGGGTCAGTGTGTGATGGGGATCGGGGAGGGTCTCTATCAGGGTCAGTGTGTGATGGGGACCGGGGAGGGTCTCTAGCAGGGTCAGTGTGTGATGGGGATCGGGGAGGGTCTCTATCAGGGTCAGTGTGTGATGGGGACCGGGGAGGGTCTCTATCAGGGTCAGTGTGTGATGGGGACCGGGGAGGGTCTCTATCAGGGTCAGTGTGTGATGGGGACCGGGGAGGGTCTCTAGCAGGGTCAGTGTGTGATGGGGACCGGGGAGGGTCTCTATCAGGGTCAGTGTGTGATGGGGATCGGGGAGGGTCTCTATCAGGGTCAGTGTGTGATGGGGACCGGGGAGGGTCTCTATCAGGGTCAGTGTGTGATGGGGACCGGGGAGGGTCTCTATCAGGGTCAGTGTGTGATGGGGACCGGGGAGGGTCTCTAGCAGGGTCAGTGTGTGATGGGGACCGGGGAGGGTCTCTAGCAGGGTCAGTGTGTGACGGGGACCGGGGAGGGTCTCTATCAGGGTCAGTGTGTGATGGGGACCGGGGAGGGTCTCTGCCAGGGTCAGTAATATGTACCAGACGTCCAGGCTGCTGCAGTACTCTGTGTTCCCCAGCAGGACGTCGGGGGGGCGATACCACAGAGTCACAACCTGAGAGGACAGAACCAGACTGGGGACAGACTGAGAGCGGGCCAGACCTGAGAGACAAGAGACAAGAGAGACATCAAGAGACAAGAGAGACAAGAGAGACATCAAGAGACAAGATCAGAGGACAGACTGAGAGACAAGAGACATCAAGAGACAAGAGAGACATCAAGAGACAAGATCAGAGGACAGACTGAGAGACAAGAGACATCAAGAGACAAGAGAGACAAGAAAGAGACATCAAGAGACAAGAGAGACATCAAGAGACAAGATCAGAGGACAGACTGAGAGACATCAAGAGACATCAAGAGACAAGAGAGACATCAAGAGACACCAAGAGACAAGATCAGAGGACAGACTGAGAGACATCAAGAGACAAGAGAGACATCAAGAGACAAGAGAGACATCAAGAGACAAGAGAGACATCAAGAGACATCAAGAGACATCAAGAGACAAGAGAGACATCAAGAGACATCAAGAGACAAGATCAGAGGACAGACTGAGAGACATCAAGAGACATCAAGAGACAAGAGAGACATCAAGAGACAAGAGAGACATCAAGAGACAAGATCAGAGGACAGCCTGAGAGACAAGAGACATCAAGAGACAAGAGAAAGACAAGAGACATCAAGAGACAAGAGAAAGACAAGAGACATCAAGAGACATCAAGAGACATCAAGAGACAAGAGAGACATCAAGAGACAAGAGAGAGACATCAAGAGACATCAAGAGACAAGAGAGAGACATCAAGAGACATCAAGAGACAAGAGAGAGACATCAAGAGACATCAAGAGAAAAGAGAGAGACATCAAGAGACATCAAGAGACAAGAGAGAGACATCAAGAGACATCAAGAGAGAGACATCAAGAGACATCAAGAGAGACATCAAGAGACATCAAGAGACAAGAGAGAGACATCAAGAGACATCAAGAGACAAGAGAAGACATCAAGAGAAAAGAGAGACATCAAGAAGAGACAAGAGAAGAGACAAGAGACAAGAGAGAGAGACATCAAGAGACATCAAGAGACAAGAGAGAGACATCAAGAGACATCAAGAGACAAGAGAGAGACATCAAGAGACATCAATAGACAAGAGAGAGACATCAAGAGACATCAAGAGACAAGAGAGAGACATCAAGAGACATCAAGAGACAAGAGAGAGACATCAAGAGACAAGAGAGACATCAAGAGACAAGAGAGAGACATCAAGAGACAACAAGAGACATCAAGAGACAACAAGAGACATCAAGAGACATCAAGAGACAAGAGAGAGACATCAAGAGACATCAAGAGACAAGAGAGAGACATCAAGAGACAAGAGAGACATCAAGAGACAAGAGAGAGACATCAAGAGACAAGAGAGAGACATCAAGAGACATCAAGAGACAAGAGAGACATCAAGAGACAAGAGAGAGACATCAAGAGACAACAAGAGACATCAAGAGACAACAAGAGACATCAAGAGACATCAAGAGACAAGAAGAGACATCAAGAGACAACAAGAGACATCAAGAGACAACAAGAGACATCAAGAGACATCAAGAGACAAGAGAGAGACATCAAGAGACATCAAGAGCAAAGAGAGACATCAAGAGACAAAGAGACATCAAGAGAAGAGAGATCAGAGACAAGAGCGAGAGACATCAAGAGACATAGAGACAAGAGACAACTCAAGAGACAAGAGAGACATCAAAGAGACACAAGAGACAGAGAGACATCAAGAGACAAGAGAGAGAGACATCCTACAGAGAGAGAGACATTCAAGAGACAAGAGAGAGAGACATCAAGAGACATCAAGAGACATCAAGAGACAAGAGAGAGACATCAAGAGACATCAAGAGACAAGAGAGAGACATCAAGAGACAAGAGAGAGACATCAAGAGACAAGAGAGACATCAAGAGACAACAAGAGACATCAAGAGACAAGAGAGAGACATCAAGAGACAACAAGAGACATCAAGAGACAACAAGAGACAAGAGAGAGACATCAAGAGACAAGAGAGAGACATCAAGAGACATCAAGAGACAACAAGAGACATCAAGAGACAAGAGAGAGACATCAAGAGACATCAAGAGACAACAAGAGACATCAAGAGACAAGAGAGAGACATCAAGAGACATCAAGAGACAAGAGAGAGACATCAAGAGAAAAGAGAGAGACATCAAGAGACAAGAGAGACATCAAGAGACAAGAGAGAGACATCAAGAGACAAGAGAGAGAGACATCAAGAGACATCAAGAGAGAGACATCAAGAGACATCAAGAGACAAGAGAGAGACATCAAGAGACATCAAGAGACAAGAGAGAGACATCAAGAGACATCAAGAGACAAGAGAGAGACATCAAGAGACAAGAGAGACATCAAGAGACAACAAGAGACATCAAGAGACAAGAGAGAGACATCAAGAGACAACAAGAGACAAGAGAGAGACATCAAGAGACAAGAGAGAGACATCAAGAGACAAGAGAGAGAGACATCAAGAGACATCAAGAGACAAGAGAGAGACATCAAGAGACATCAAGAGACAAGAGAGACATCAAGAGACAACAAGAGACATCAAGAGACAAGAGAGAGACATCAAGAGACAACAAGAGACATCAAGAGACAACAAGAGACAAGAGAGAGACATCAAGAGACAAGAGAGAGACATCAAGAGACAAGAGAGAGAGACATCAAGAGACATCAAGAGAGAGACATCAAGAGACATCAAGAGACAAGAGAGAGACATCAAGAGACATCAAGAGACAAGAGAGACATCAAGAGACAAGAGAGACATCAAGAGACAACAAGAGACATCAAGAGACAAGAGAGACATCAAGAGACAACAAGAGACATCAAGAGACAACAAGAGACATCAAGAGACAAGAGAGAGACATCAAGAGACAACAAGAGACATCAAGAGACAAGAGAGACATCAAGAGACATCAAGAGACATCAAGAGACATCAAGAGACAAGAGAGAGACATCAAGAGACATCAAGAGACAAGAGAGAGACATCAGAGACTCAAGAGACAACAAGAGACATCAAGACAAAGAGAGACATCAAAGACAACAGAGACATCAAGAGACAGAGAGACATCAAGAGACATCAAGAGACATCAAGACAAGAGAGAGACATCAAGAGACATCAAGAGACAAGAGAGACATCAAGAGACATCAAGAGAAAAGAGACATCAAGACGAACAATTACATTTCAAAGGTCTCCTATCATCATCATCCTCCTCCTCTTCATCAATATATCCCAGGTCTCAGATATATCCAGAGCCTGTCTCTGATTGGCTGAACACCAAACAGATCATTGCAGCATTACCCATAATCCCTCTGTTTCAGCCCTGTTTCCAAAGTGCTGATTCTCTGTCTGTGACTTCAGATGAAAGCAAGGAGCCCCTCCCCACGCCCCTCTGAGAGACATCTGGTTACAAAGAACTCAATGGAGCTCTAGAGGAGATTCAGGTGATGAGGGGGGGGGGGTGGGGTTACCTTGGTTGCTGATTGGCTAATGGTTACACAAGACAAAACATCGTTATGACATCATCAAGTCCCCAAAATCTGATCGGCTCATTTTCAGGTTTTTATAGAAATGGATCAAAAAGAGAGAAAATCTTTGTTCCTGAAACTTTCAGTGTATTCAGTGTATTCAGTGTGTATTCAGTGTATTCAGTGTGTATTCAGTGTGTATTCAGTGTATTCAGTGTGTATTCAGTGTGTATTCAGTGTGTATTCAGTGTGTATTCAGTGTGTATTCAGTGTATTCAGTGTATTCAGTGTGTATTCAGTGTATTCAGTGTGTATTCAGTGTGTATTCAGTGTATTCAGTGTGTATTCAGTGTGTATTCAGTGTATTCAGTGTATTCAGTGTGTATTCAGTGTATTCAGTGTATTCAGTGTGTATTCAGTGTATTCAGTGTGTATTCAGTGTATTCAGTGTGTATTCAGTGTATTCAGTGTATTCAGTGTGTATTCAGTGTATTCAGTGTATTCAGTGTGTATCAGTGTGTATTCAGTGTATTCAGTGTATTCAGTGTGTATTCAGAGTGTATTCAGTGTGTATTCAGTGTGTATTCAGTGTGTATTCAGTGTGTATTCAGTGTGTATTCAGTGTGTATTCAGTGTGTATTCAGTGTGTATTCAGTGTATTCAGTGTATTCAGTGTATATTCAGTGTGTATTCAGTGTATTCAGTGTGTATTCAGTGTGTATTCAGTGTATTCAGTGTATATTCAGTGTGTATTCAGTGTATTCAGTGTGTATTCAGTGTGTATTCAGTGTATTCAGTGTATAAAGTGTGTATTC